CAGGCGTCCTTAGATGCTGTGTGCATATCCTTTGTTGACCGATGAATGTCCACTTAGTTGTAGATTCGAAGGGGGAGAGACAAAACTGCTCACTCCACCATGTTGCTGACGTCTCTCCTCCTATTACCCCTTTTCACAGCTGGGGAAATAGGCTCAGAGAAGTTAAGCTGATTTGCCTAAAGTCAAACAACAAGCAAGGATTGGAGAAAGATTTGAACCAGGGAGTAATGGCAGTGGAAGTTACGTGGTGGTTACCAGAAGTCTTGAAGAACCTTGAATACCAGGCTAAGCATTGTGGATTTTTATCCTCTAGACAACAGATTTCCAATCTCAGTTCACGATGCCCTTAGTGTCTCGGTAATACTTTGAGACACACCAAAAGAAATACCTCAGTTCTGTTTTAAATAGTTAGATCCAAACAATAAGTACTTAGGTCCTAACAACTTAGTAGGTATTTGAAAAAATAATACACATAAATCTAAAGAAAAAAGTATTTTTATTTCACTTTTAAATAACTACAATTATTTACCAGTGGGACACTGCTTAACGTCTCAAACCTTGGGATCAAATTGGACACTACCCCTTCCTTCTCTGTTTGACGCTGAAAGGAATGCTTTAATGTTGAAACTGATCTGCTTGGAGCTAGTAGTTCACATGTTGTCTTAAGAGATGTCAAGTGTCACTGTGATTCCCCCAAAAGTCTAAAATATCCGATGGCAGGCTGTGATTTTGCTGCCCAAGTGTGACTTACTTAGCTCATAGTCTGGGAACCAGAATCTAGGCAATAAGGAATCACTGACACATTTTGAACAGGCAGTCACCAAAATGAAGTTTAGAAAAATGAATCTGGCTTTTGTGTTAAAGATGGATGCAGGATTAAGAGGACAGAGTCAGGGACATCAAAAAAACATAGAAATCAATGGGGCTGGCCCATGGCCAAGTGGTTAAGTTCGCGTGCTCTGCTGCAGGCGGCCCAGTGTTTCGTTGGTTCAAATCCTGGGTGCGTACATGGCACTGCTCATCAAACCACGCTGAGGCAGCGTCCCACATGCCACAACTAGAAGGACCCACAATGGAGAATATACAACTATGTACCGGGGGGCTTTGGGGAGAAAAAGGAAAAAAATATAATCTTTAAAAAAAACAAAAAACATAGAAATCAAATGTGTTAGGGCCACGAAAGCAAAGATGAAAGTTGAAACACAAGAAAACTACAGGAATTAATTGATGGCATAAGCGTGTGGAGGGAAGGAATCTACATACTAGAGGTTTTGAACAAGGGTGACAGGATAATGTTGATGCAAATAATCCATAATTATAAATCAAAATTGGGATAAGTTTATCATGAGCCAGATCTGAGGAGTAGCCCAGGGCCTGCCTTCCCCAAGGAAGGAAGGGCACCAAAGAAGTGATGTGTACAGAGTATTTATATACCATCTTGGAACAAAGAGCATACATCACGTATGATAGGAATGGCCCTGTTACAATTGTCATGAGATTGCTGGCACAGCAGATTGGTGGTCACAAGGTGAGTACAGCAGGTGAGTAATTAATCCTTAGTTCAGGGAGAGATGCAGATCCTAAAGGAAACGCTGGTATGGGGGAGGGTACATCCCTATGTTTAGGGGCATCGTTCTTTGGGACATAGGAAATATTTAAAGCAGATGTACAATGCATGCTCAACAGGCCACATCAGGCCCTTTTGGAAAAACAAGGTCAGGCCGAATTAGTTTTAAGCAAAATGTTTTCCTCATACACTCCAATGTATCCTATTGCTTCTCATTTATTTATCAATAAGAATTGGTTGTAAGACTAGGATGTTAAAACTTCAGCTTGCAACCCATTCCCAGCCAGAGGGATCTCAGCCGGAATCCCAGCCTACCCACTAAAAAGTGGTCTTTGGCAAATTACTTCTCTCAGTCTAATTTCTTACCAGTAAAATAGAATACCTGTCTCGCTGCACCATTGTAAGAGAGAATATGTCCAGCACTTAACCCAGTGACTGGCAAAGGCACTCAAATCCTGATGGTGATGATTATTAAAGTTCAAAATTTATCTTGGCAAGTAATTCCCTTCATAATCTTGCCCTTAACTCCCATTACAGTGCTCGCTCTCACTCTCTTCTGTCTTTTGAATGTGTGTGTGTGTGTGTGTGAGGAAGATTGGCCCTGAGCTAACATCAGTTGCCAGTGTTCCTCCACTTTGTATGTGGGTTGCCTCCACAGCATGGCTGACAAGTGGTGGAGGTCTGCACCCAGGATCTCAACCCACGAACGTGGGCCACTGAAGCTGAGGGTGCCGGACTTAACCCCTATGCCATGGGGCTGGCCCTCTGTCTCTCCTTATGCCCTGATCTTACCATGTCTTTGCAAGCCTCAGCTATTCAACTTCCCTCTCAACTGGGAACTCTCAACTTTGACTTTTAGGCTCAAATTAAAACCATCTTAAAAAATAAAGCACCCACTCTCATCCCCTCTAGCTATCATCTGTTTTCCACTCAGTCAAATTTCTCAACCAGTGTTTCCACTCACTGTCCCCTTACCATTTCCATCTGGCTTAAAGGTAAAATCAATCATGAATTACCTGGAGTAGGCACATTTATAGAGACAGTAAAGTAGAGGCTGCCAAGAGCTAGGAGAAGTAATCATTTAGTAAGTACACAGAGTTCTGTTGGGTGTGATGAAAAAGCTCTGGAAATGGATAGTGGTGATGGTTGCACAATATTGTGAATGTACTTAAAGCCATGAAATTGTACACAAATATGGTTAAAATGGCAAGTTTTATGTACATTTTACTATAATTTTTAAATAAAATGTACTGAGGCTTAACGAAGTATACAAACCTTAAGTGTACAGGTCAATAAACTACTGGCCTTCTCCAGAGATGAGCACTATTCTGAAGGAAGTCACCATCTATGAGTATTGTCTTGAACGTCATATAAAAGGAATTGTCCATTTCATCATTGTCAAATGTATTGGCATGAATTGCTCAAAATATCCTATTTTTCATATCCATAGGATCTGAAGGCTGTCTTCTTTTTCCTTTTTGATACCAGTAATTTGCAATTTCTCCTTTTTTCTTGATCAGTCTTGTTAGTGGTTTATCAATTTTATGTTTTCTCTCTTGTACATCTCTCTATAATTTCTACTTGTATATGTATTATTCATCTCCATCGATAGTTTGGATTTTAACTTACTGTTCTTTTTCTAGTTTCTTAGAGTAGATAATTTCAATTTTTCTCTTGTCCTGTATATGCGTTGACAATTATAAATTCCCTTTCAGGCCAGATAGCTGCATCCCACAAGTTTTGCTATGTCACATTTCCATTATTTATCCTTCTGTTCAAAGTATTTTCTAATTTCCATTGTGATTTTTTCTTTCACCCGTGGATAATCTGGCTTCTTGTCTTATTACTCCACCAAAACAGTTCTCACTAAGGTCACCCACGACTTGCCTGTGGGTAAGTCCATTGGGCTTTTTCAGTCTTTGTTTTGGCTTTTAAGCAGCTGAGGACGCTATTAGCTACCTCAAAGTTTGGGCTCTTAGCTGTCACTGTGTTGAGTGTCTCCTGAGTGGTGGGTTTGGAGTCCTGGAGAGAGACATTCTACTCTGTTGGCTGAGCTGTGGCGCTTGAAAACGGGAGGTGGGAGCCAAGACACTGCGTAGGGTCTAGAAGGAGAACCTCTATTTGAAGTGTAGAGGGGACGCCTCTTCTCCACCTAAAGGAGACCGGTGATAGAGGCAGGGAGGTGAAGAGAATGCATTTCGCCCTAGACAAGCTTACAGAGCCTGGCTATTGTCTTAGCTGCATTTGAGACCTTGGACTAACAGGTGCTGTAAGAACAAATAGTATTGTTAAAATGCGATCTCCAGGCCGGCCTGGTGGCACAGTGGTTAAGTGCCAACGTTCTGCTTCTGGCAGCTGGGGTTCGCCGGTTCCAATCCTGGTGCCAACATGGCACCGCTTGGCACACCATGTTGTGGTAGGCGTCCCACATAATAAAGTAGAGGAAGATGGGCACAGATGTTAGCTCAGGGCCAGTCTTCCTCAGCAAAAAGAGGAGGATTGGCAGGAGATGTTAGCTCAGGGCTAATCTTCCTCAAAAAAAAAAAAAAAAAGCAATCTCCTTTATTCTTCCTAACAACCTTGCCTGGGTGGTATTGTTTTCATTTTATCGATGATGAGGTAGAGACTGAGAAGATCCAAGAAACGTGCCCCAAGTCCCACAGCTACATAGCGGGACTGCCAATCTCCATCCCTGGACTCGAGGCTAAACTCCCTGAGATGAACTGTTCAAGGGCACTGGCCCACCACAGAGGAGGAGGAAAACAGCGAAGCGGGGAAGGAGATGGAGGCTGAGTTCCATCCGCTCCTCCGTTTCCCCTCACACACCACTCTTCCTTTCCCGTCTCTCTGCCCGCTCCCCCCGCCCACCGCCCCCATTAAAAAGAAAAAAAAAAGTCCCGACTGCCGTTGTTATTGTACATTAAATAATTTGGAAGACAGCAACTCCTTAACCACCTCACTCTTACGTAACTCAAAAACAACAAACCCTGTTGCATAGTAAAGCAAATTTTACTGAGTTGTAATCAGTGTGTACACTAGAGCGAGCTTAGCTATCCCAGATTGCTTTAACAGTTTATTCCCAAACACTGAGCATTTGGGGAGTTTTCCGTTTGCTGTTTTAACACTTGCTTTCCCACAGAGAGAGACTTCTGCAGCTGCTCTGTCAACGCAGGGGACATATTACATCTTCGACTCAAAAAGGGAAGACACTTTTTCTGCTCTTCTACTTAAAGACCCAACCTAGAAAAGACGCTGCTGGGCGCGGACACTCAGCCCGCAGGGCGCCTGCCTGGGAGCGGTCGCCGCTGATTGGCCCGTGTCTGACCAAAGGCAGCGCGGCATTCAGGGAGCAGCGGATGGTGATAGGCTGCTGCAGACCCACCCCCTCGCCGACTGGGTGGCCACAGCGGAGCCGGGGATTGGTGGAGCGTGTGGGGCTGCCACACAGCCTCATCTGCCACCGGAGCAAGGCGGAGATGGCGACTGCAGCTCGGCTCCTGGGGCGGCGGGTGGCGAGCTGGAGGCTGCAGCCGCCGCGGCCGCCCCTCGCCGGCGTCGTTTCCCAGCGGGCCCACTCGCTGTTGCCCGTGGACGATGCGGTCAACGGGCTAAGCGAGGAGCAGAAGCAGGTAGGGAGCCTGACCCCCGTCCCGGCCCCAAGGTCTCCTGGCCCCGGCCTATCGCCCTGCTTGGTGGTCGCCTCGGCGCTCTGCTGGCCCGCGCCCACGCGGCCGCGGCGTGTGCCCAGCGGGCTAGGGGAACGCAGGGCGGGCGCGGGCCTCAGCTTCAGCTCTGCGGAGACAGCAAGGCCCGGCTGCCAGAGTTAGATGAGGAGGCAGAGACAGGAGAGCTGGGAGACCGGTGGTGTTCTGGTGGAGGATTGGCAGCCGCGCATTTCGCAACACGGCCCTCCGTCTGTCTGAAGTTCGCTTCCACCTGAACGCTGTGTAAGGCTATGGTTTTCAGAGCTGGTTAATCATCATCAGGGAATCTTTTTCGAATAAACACTTCGGGGTTTTGAAATGCACCGTATAATCTGCTTTAATTCTTCAACCCACTGGGTCAAAGCACAAAGTTGAACAAAAACCTGAAAGATGTTGCAAATAGAGCTGAACCAGAGCCTTCCTGGTCTGTCCCCCGGAAACGTGATTCTCCTGTGGCTCCAAGCAAGTGCCTGAGCCTCACGAACTCCAAAGCCCCATTTGGGTTTCTAGACAGCAAACAGAGCTTTGAATCTTCCCAGTTAGAAATAGTTCAATCCTGCTTCTCAGACTTTTCTGGCAGGAGGAGTTTCTAATCTGACTAATGGCTTTTAGCCGGAGGCTCAGAGACAGAAAGCACCCGACTCAAGCCAAGCCCTGAAGGGGGCGTGGCTGAAGGGAGAGAAAGGTAACTGGGGAAGACTGCAAGGGTGTACAGGGGTCGGCTCCTGCAGGGCTTTACAGGCCTGGGTAAGGAGCTTGTCTTCTAAGCATAATAAAAAGCCATAGGATGATTTTATGTAGGGAGGGTGACATTTAAAAAATAATCTTCAAGCTGTCTAGACTGAGGACCGTAAGAAAGGGGAGAGGACCATCTCTGAGGAAGCATAAACTAGTGGGGCCTCTAAGTTTCAGTCTGATGCTGTTTGGTGAGATTCCTTGTAGCCTGTTTCTTGAATGTGTACTCAGCATTGAAGGGGCTGTCTTCAGTGGCAACAATGTACTATTTCTGTGGCATCTGTCCACCTCTCCTTCTAGCTTCGTCAGACCATGGCTAGGTTCCTTCAGGAGCACCTAGCCCCCCAGGCCCACGAGATTGATCACAGCAACGAGTTCAAGAACCTTCGAGTGAGTCATGAAGCCCCCAGGGGGACAGTCTGGGAGCTGGGCTGGGAGTTGCACTGCTACCTGGAAGGGGTCACAGTCTTCTGGTAAATGAAAGCTCCCTGAGAACGCAGCCTTTCTGTGAAGCGTTGGGCTCTCCTTGCTCCAGACGTGCCAGGCTCCTGTGACTGGCTGCCTTCTTCTCACAGCTCACTGCACTCACTTCATTCTGTTGGCAGGAGTTTTGGAAGCAGCTGGGGAACCTGGGAGTCTTGGGCATCACAGCCCCTGGTGAGTATAGTTTCTTTCCCTAAAGAGAACTTTTCTTGCATGCCCTTGAAGACCATTCCCAAAAGAAGCAGGAAAGGAGGGGAAAGCTGGTGCTCACTGAGACCCAGAACTTCCTCCCTCTTGGACCTGAGAAAGCACCCATTGACTGTCAGCCCAGAGAAGAATATATTCTTCTGTTTCTTTAGGCAGTGACAAGAAGGCAAAGGGATCGGGCCAGTGTGACTCACTTAGATCAGGATCACCCAGACTCTTGAACACTGCATGATCACTAAGTTACTCCAGGTGATTTGGGGAGTTTAGAAAACACTCCATATCATGCAGCTGTCTTAGTACCTTGTCTTTCTGTCTCCCCTAATCCCTAAGCTCTGACCTACCAGTAGCATCTAAGCAGGACCTCTCAGGACAGGTGTGTCCTTATGGGGACTTCCTGTGTCCCCTGCCCACAGCTTGGCCCTGGAGCTCATCTGGGAGTGGATGGTGGCATGTGGGAGAGGGACGCCTGTCTGAGCCTCCACATGAGGTGGCCAGATGATGTGTTTGATAGGCTCTCCCTAGGCCTGCTCCGTGTCCCCCGTGGGTCTTACTGCTTATTTCTAGGAAGAGGGCAGGCAGCTGGTAGGCTCTGGTTTGGATGTTGGCCTCTGAAGGAGAGTCCCAGCCTAGCTTGCAGTGGCTGGTAAAGAGATGAGCCTGTGTCTTCACCAGCCAAAGCATGGGTGGCCCACCTGCTCCGGCTTGTATTCATTGGGCATTGGCACAGAGGTGGAATACAATACACTTATACTCACTTCTTCCCCCTCACCACTTAGAGACAGTTCGTGGGATCCAAGCTGATCATAGAAAGTTACATCATGAGTAATGATAAAAAGAAACCACTTAAAAATTAATTTAGACCATCTTAACGTAAAATGGTAGGGGGACAGGCCACTAGGAACTCCCAAACAAGACTCTTCCTTCCACTGTGTTTTGGGGGTTTATGAACCCCCATAGAGAATAGACTTCTGAATCAGCTGGTATTTAATGGAAGAAAGAGACAGAAATCAGATGAAAAACCTTCCAAGGGAAAACCGTGAAAACAAAGCCAGATATGAGTTCTGGTTCCTGCATGGTTGTCCCCGGGGTTGTTTCCAATGTCACCTGCCTGTCGGCTTGCCTTCCTGGAATTGCAGGGGTCGAGCCAACCTTTCCCTAGAGCCCAGGATAAGCCTGACTTCTTGGTCAGAGTGCCTGCGTGCAGAGGGTCTTGCCAGGGTTTACCCAAACAGCGGGCCAGAGGGTGGGACCAGATGACCCAGCCACTTGGGTTTTGGATCTGCTGCCAAGGAAAAGCCACATTTTTATGAGGAGTTCTGAGATTCCCTACCAGCATCTCTTCTGCCCTCTGCTGTACTGCCCACCAGCTTTTCTCTTGGGCTGTCGCTCTCCTGTCCCCTGTTACTAGTCCTGCTTTTTTTTTTTTTAACTTTTAAAATTGAGATATAATTGACATATAACATTGTGTGAATTAAAAGTGTTGATTTGATAGTCCTGCTTCTTTAGATCCAAACCTATGCCACGAAAATCTCACCTTCCTCGGACCTTTTTTTTTTCTTTCAGTTATTTTATTGAGGTCATAATGGTTTATAACATTGTATAATTTCAGGTGTACATTTTTATTGATCAGTTTCTGTAGAGACTGCATCATGCTCACCACCAATAGTCTAATTTTGGTCAGTCACCATACATATGTGCCTCTTTACCCCTTTCACCCACCCCGCAACCCCTGCCCCTCTGGTAACCACTAATTTTTCTCTTTGTTCATTTGTTTGTTTATCATCCACATATGAGTGAAATCATGCGGTGTCTGTCTTTCTCCATCTGGCTTATTTTGCTTAACATCATACCCTCAAAGTCCGTCCATGTTGTTGCCAATGGGACGATTTTGTCTTTTTTACAGCCCCTCAAGCCTTTTGCACACACATCCTTTGCTCTTTATCTATTCTTAGTGCTTTGACCCTCCCTCCCTCTTTCTGTTTCTTAGTTAAAGTCCAGGTCCTCTTTCTTCATGTATTCATCTGCCTGTGCATTTCTGCAGCTTTCCAAATAGTGGGTACTCCAGTCCTCTTGTCTTCATCAAGAGGTCTTTCTGGGCTAAAACACGAGTTGCAATGACTCTTTTCCGAACCACATCTCAGCTGACCTGAGGCAACAGACAAAATTAGTTCTGTTAGCTTGTAAACAGAGTCCCTGGCATTAGCCTGTTGACATTGCTAAAGGGAACTTGGAATAGGTGCTACAAGGTATTCCTCTGCAGCTAAAATAAATGTAAGATTCCTACCAATGGCCTAATTTAATCTGGGCTGCCTTTCCCACTCCTCTGCACCCCCTCCGCTCCCAGTTCAGTATGGCGGCTCTGGCTTGGGCTACCTGGAGCATGTGTTGGTGATGGAGGAGATATCCCGAGCCTCTGGAGCAGTGGGACTCAGTTACGGTGCCCACTCGAACCTCTGCCTCAACCAAATTGTGCGCAATGGAAATGAGGCCCAGAAGGAGAAGTACCTCCCCAAGGTGAGGATGGGAATGGAGAAACACAGGCCGATCTCATGGTACAACCACCAACCTTGAAGCACCCTCCCCTGTTGGCGAGGGCTGGGCAGACTTGCTTTCCGTAGCATGCTACCCTGACCCAGCTGTGGTTAGGAAGGGGTCAGGGATTTGCTTTAAAATATTTCAGTCCAAAAAAATGAGGGGCCAGCCCCATGGCTGAGTGGTTAAGTTCACGTGCTCTGCTTCGGCGGCCCAGGGTTTCACCGGTTCGGATCCTGGGCGCGGACATGGCACCACTGGTCAGGCCATGCTGAGGCAGCGTGCCACATGCCACAACTAGAAGGACGCACAACTAAAATATACAGCTATGTACTGGGGGGATTTGGGGAGGGAAAAAAAGAAGAATGGTAACTGTTGTTAGCTCAGATGCCAATCTTTAAAAGAAGAATTAAAAATAGGGCCAGAACTCCTAAGTTGGTCACTGGACAATATTTGCAGAGCACTTTAAAAAACAGAAAGACTAGGACTTGCTTCCCTTGCAAAGAGAATGGAAAAAAGAGAGAGATTTTCAGGCTCGTAGATATTGGGCTTCTTTTCCAGGACTTTACCAATATCCTGGTCTGAGAGAGCAGTTTGAAGAGGTGTCATGTGAACAGGCAAGAAGCAGTCTTGCCTGTTCCTGTAGGGTTCTGAGGTCATAACCAGGCCCTTTGGGGGTTTTCCTTGCAGCTGATCAGCGGTGAACACATCGGAGCCCTGGCCATGAGTGAGCCCAATGCCGGCTCTGATGTTGTCTCCATGAAGCTAAAAGCAGAAAAAAAAGGTGAGGCTCCTCTTGACTTGGGAGCTGAAATGGACAGAGTGACCAACCTTCTCAGGGTGAGGGAGCAGTAACTAGGGCCTTGGCTGGGTTTCCAGAACTGTTTACCAGCTGAGAAGCTCCTTGCTCAGCAGCAGGTCTGTGGACTGGCTGGCTGAGATGGGCTGACACAGTTTGAGCAAATAGCCAACTTCCTGTTCTCAGGAGATCACTACATCCTGAATGGCAACAAGTTCTGGATCACCAATGGCCCCGATGCTGACATCCTTATTGTCTATGCCAAGACAGATCTGGCTGCTGTGCCACCTTCTCGGGGCATCACGGCCTTCATCGTTGAGAAGGTGAGTGGAAGGCAGTGCACAGTGGGAGGCAGAAGAGCAGACTGAAAGGAGCGTGGCCAAAAAGTGGACGCCAGGGAGGATGGGTCGAGTCTGAGGACTATGGAGCTGTCCACGGAGTCAGGCCACACCAAAAGGTCCAGGAAGATGAGGACTGAAAAGAGGCAACTGGATTTGACAATCAGGACGTCCCTGGTGGACGTGGTGAGAGCAGCTATAGGAGACTGAGGTGTGAGTGGGAATGCAAGTGGTGACTGACTGAAGATGGCACCTTTCAGATCTTGACACTAAAAGCAGGAGAGAGAGCGAGCAGGAGTTAGAACAAGAAGTTAGGAGTTTGAGTTTGCTTTTAGGAATTGGAGAGGGCTGTGCAAATGTTTTGGTAAAGACAAAGGAAAATAAGGGAGGGAGAAATTGAGATGTGTGGGAGCGAATGAGCTGCAGGAGAAGAGGTAAGGCTGGGTTGGGGTATGGTGGAGGAACCACCTGCCTAATGACGGTGACAAAGAAGCCAGGTCACCTGTGAGGGTGGGGACCACAGGAGATGGGGAGCTGGTAGAGTTTCATGACGGAGTGACATAAAGGTTTGTCATACCCTCTAGAGGGAGAGGGGGAGATTAGCTGACTAGGATTAGGGGACAAGAAAAGTGAGTAGCCCGAAGGGCCCGGCTGAGATTAGAAGTCTGCAGGTTGTGTAGTGGCGGGGCGTCAGCCAGGCGAGAGGGGAGCAGCATGTGCCTGCACTCTCCTGGGCACCTGCCAATGCAGGCTGCACCTGATTAGTCAGGTCAGAGCACGCAGGTGGTGGAATTGATCCCAGGTGGGACTCAATTAGGTACAGATGGCAGAGGAACAAGGGGGCAAAGGAATTGAGGGGGCTGGTGAGAGTGTCTTGGAACTGATTTCCCCTGAGGAAAGGAAACAAAACCAGGAGGAGTCAGGAGGGCCCCAGGGATTGGCGTTTCACTGAGAAAGAACTGCTCCTGTGAGAAGTGGGGAGGACGCAAGCCAGCCACAGAGGGGGCTGGGGTCAGGGTCGGGGGTCAGGCCTGGAGCTTCCAGAAGTGGAGCAGTCACATACAGAGTCAGGGCCCTGGGAGCAGGGTTTCCAGTGTACCATGCAAGTACGGGGACTTGATGGGAAGGTGAGCATTTCCCAGGGGTCTCCTCTTCTCTGGATCCCCTTGGGGGCTGGTCTGTGATCAGGGCCACCTTTTGTTCCTGTAAAGGATATGCCCGGCTTCAGCACCTCCAAGAAGCTGGACAAGCTGGGGATGCGAGGCTCTAACACCTGTGAGCTGATCTTTGAGGACTGCAAGGTTCCTGGTGAGTCCCTGAGAATGGGGGAGCCCCTGTCCCCACTTCTTCACAAGCTGAGAAAGGCCCATCTCTGGGTCAGAGAGGCTCGCCACTGCTAGCTTGCCAATGACATGTGGCCTAGATGGTGGGCCTGCCACTGCTGTACTTGCCCGCTGGCCCCTCCGTGTGGGACTCGGGCTGCTGGGCAGCTGTCCTTCCTGGCCAGAGCCATGCAGCTGTCCACTTGACTGTGGCTGCGATGAGGGTGTGTTTCCTGCGGGGATAACACACTGTGCCTGGGCTTTGGATTCTAGGAGCTGGAGTAGAAAGGGAATATCTGCCCTCCCCCACTAATGTCCTTCTGACTTCTGCGTTAGAGCATTTCCCATACAGCCTGAGTGAGGTATTCACTGATGATGCAAGAAAACAATCCGAAGAAATGGATAGAAGCCAGACTCAGTGAAGGGAAGGCAATTCAGTTTGAGTATTTTTCTCAGTAGAACTGAAAATGTGACACCTCATGAGAGAGCCAGCACACTGCCATGTGCTAATGAGACCAAGGGCATAGATCTAATAATCACCAACTAGGTTTGCTCCACACTGCAGCCATAGACCATTCCTCTCCTCTGTGATTTGCCAAGAAAAGTGTGCCTTGGTTACAAGGAGCACCTAGGGAGGGGGTCAGTACAGATCCTTCTTTGTCAGCGGGAGAAAACTCCGCTATCATTACAAGCAGGTTAGTGGTGTCAACTCTTTGTACTCAGCTTCCTGCTCACACCTCCCAAGGCTGTCCAGTGTCCTGGCTTCCAGGGTGGAGAGATGCTCAGCAGTTTCTGTCACTAACACTGAATGGCCCACCTCCTGGACAAAGACTCTTTAATGGACCACCTTGGTGGGGGAGGGCAAGGGGGTGATATTGGACCAACGCAGACTCCACCCGGGGGACAAAGTAATTTTCTGGTTCCTTTATGGGCACAGGGAAGGGTTGGACGACTTCTAGACCAAATTAGCTTTTCTTCTTTCCTATCCAAGGCAGTTGAAGAAGAGAAAGAGATGATCTAAGGATCGGGCCTTCATGTCTGGTCTTGCAGATGATGTGTGTGGGGGTGGGGAGCGGGGCGTAGCCTCCCTCCAAGCTCCACTTAATGACTGTAAGTGGTGAACTCCGTCCTTTTCTCTCACCTGGAACCCCAGCTGAAGGTCAGGTGACAGATTTTAGTGCTTGTGTGAGAGCCACAGTACCAAACCTAGTAGCTTTGCTAAAAGTGAAGAGGCTCTGGACAGCCGTCTTCCCTCTGACCAGCACTTTTCCTGGCAGCTACCAACATCCTGGGCCATCCAAGTAAGGGCGTCTACGTGCTGATGAGTGGGTTGGACCTGGAACGGCTAGTGCTGGCTGGTGGGCCCCTCGGGTGAGTGTGAGGCTCAGCAGGGAGCTGAGCTTTTGTCCTCCTTGGCAGGTGGTGCCACTGCAGCTTTCCCCTTAGGGGCCAATGGGAGCTGCCTCCTGGCCAGTGTACCTTCTCTCCTGGAAAGCAAATGAACCTCCTCCTCCCATGTGAAGAGAAATGTCACTAAGTGACTGACAGAAGGCCCGGGAAGCAATACGGCTTAGTAACTCCACCTGTGAAACCACACAGCCCAGGCTCTGAGGCCCTTCTACACGGGGGTCCTGCCACTCTGTCTGGTTTTAGGGGAAGGGGCACAAGTCCTGGGCAGTCAGTGCAGTGACTGAGCAGGGGTAACCAGAGTCCTCACACTCCTTTACTCCTCCCTGGGACTCTGGTACCTTGTCTCTCCAAGCTGTCCCCCTGGCCTTTCCACCTGGCAGTAGGGGGACAGTGAGGCACCTCCTCAGTGTCTTTCTCCTTTCGGGCAGGCTCATGCAGGCCGTCCTCGACCACAGCATTCCCTACCTGCACACGAGGGAAGCCTTTGGCCAGAAGATTGGCCACTTCCAAGTGAGTAGATCGCTTTTGTTGAAATGGACTCTTTGATGGGGTTCAAATTTGTTTAACAAATGAGTAAACAGGGCACGTGCTGTGGGGCATTTACTGCCCTTCACCGGCAAAATGGGTTTGAATGCTTGGAATGCAAGCTTCTTTAGCATGCCACCTGGCTTTGGAAGTTGTCAGGAAGTTCATCCCCTGTCACCTCACTTCCTGTTTGAGATGAATGAACCAGGCCTCCTTAAGGTTGGAGAGTGAAGTGTGCAGCCTGTGGGGAGGTCTGGGGAAAGGGAGCCGCATTTCTAGTCATACTTTCTGGGCTAAAGTCACCACAGGACGTTAATCAGGGCTGTGGTGGCTGGAGGGCCATTTCAGGGGGCAGTGTCCACAGTGCAATGGCAGTTCTGTGGCCTTAACTCCAGGCCCACTACCATCTTTGCCATCCTGGACAAGTCCTTTCTCCTCTCTGTGCCCTGGTGTCCCCATTCCTGGCTGTCAGGGTGCTACTGCAGACCTGCTTTTGGTACCTGGGGAGAGTGTCTGAGAGCAGTGTGGCTCCAGCATGCTGACCTGGGATCTCTCTTTGTGCCCAGCTGATGCAGGGGAAGATGGCTGACATGTACACGCGCCTCATGGCATGTCGGCAGTACGTCTACAACGTCGCCAAAGCCTGTGATGAGGGCCACTGCACCTCCAAGGTAAGGCCCGGCGCCTGAGGAGGGAGAGCGGGGACAGCGGGCTGGGGCTGGGCCTCGCTCTCTGCGTGGCCCCCTGCAGGGCCCTGCTGACCCGGAGCCGGCTCCTGCAGGACTGCGCAGGGGTGATTCTTTACTCAGCCGAGTGCGCCACACAGGTCGCCCTGGACGGCATTCAGTGTTTCGGTGAGTGGCCCCCACTGCCCACTCCCAGGCCTCCCTTGCTCCCAGAGCCCGTGGCTGCCTCCAGAAAGAGATTTCCTCTTCACTCCTCACCCTGGGCTTCAGCTGGCTGCAGCTCAGCTGACACCTTAGGCTCCCTCTGCCCTAGTTACTTGGAGGCCATGGAAAAGCAAAGGAGAAAACTGCTAGAGGCCACAAGTTGCTACTCCTGTCAGCAGTGCTCCCTCCCATGCTCCCCGCCTGGTCCTGTGGACACTGGGAAAGGAGGAGGGAGAGATGCCCCAGAGGTGGGACAGCCTTGTTTCAAGGCTGGGCAGTGGTTAAGAGCACAGACTCCAGCCACACGGCCTAGGTTTGAATCCTGGCTCTACTACTGACTGGCTTTGTGACTTGTGCAATGACTTAACCTCTCGGGCTGGCACCCAGGAAGTGCCGTGCAGTATTTTCTTGTCCCCCTTCTCCACATCTGCCAGTGGTTCTCCCCCACTTTGCCTATCATCCTCAGGCACAGGATGGCCTTCCCACCCCTCGTCCACCCTACCCCCAGCTAGGTGTTCCTCACACCCTGCCTCCCCCACCCCCTGCTGCTTCTCTTTGACTGGCACCCCCTCCTCTGGCCTCTTTCTATCTACTTGGCCTTCTGTTTGCTTTCCTTGCTTTGCCCAGTGCCCATCACTGTTCCTGTTGTCTTCTTCTCCGCCCAAACCCCGGCTGCAGGTGCCAATGGCTACATCAATGACTTTCCCATGGGCCGCTTTCTGCGAGATGCCAAACTGTATGAGATTGGGGCCGGGACCAGTGAGGTGAGGAGGCTGGTCATCGGCAGAGCCTTCAACACAGACTTCCGCTAACCCCAAGACCCTTCAGCCACTTTTCCCAGCACCTAGAGGCCTTTCTTTGGAAGTAGGGATGTGGCAGTTCTCCCCTGCCCGAGGCTGGCCTGGCTGCTCAGCTGCCTTTTTTTTTTGTTTGGAAGATCTGCCCTGAGCTAACATCTGTTGCCAATCTTCGTCTTTTTACTTGAGGAGGATTGTCGCTGAGCTAACGTCTGTGCCAGTCCTCCTCTGCTTGGTATATGGGATGCCACCTCAGCATGGCTTGATGAGCAGTGTGTACGTCTGGGCCCGAGATCCAAACCTGTGAACCCCAGGCCCAACATGAACTCAACCACTACGCCACCAGGCTGGCCCCATCACCTGCCCTCCTTGCATCAGCCTCCTGGCCTCTGCATGAGGTTGAGTTCTCCACAATGGCTGCCAAGTCCTGTGGGCCTCAGAGCCAAGCCAGCCAGCCAGCCCAGGAAAAGCATTCAGTGGCTTAATACGGACTCAGAAGGAAGCATACTGGCTTTTCTGGGGCTCATTGGGAGGGCTTTGGTGACTCTCTGTCCTCGCTTTCTAACTTCCAAGGCTGATGCCCCCACCTCCCAAGCCAGGCACCTTGGGGGCAGATAGGTGGCTACCCCTTTTTCTAGGGTGAGTCTCTGGCAAGGAGCCCTCTGCTCAAGTACACCAGAAGCATCACGCCTCTCCATTTATTCGAACTTAGTAGGCTCTTTTCTTTCTGGGGGAAAAAAAACCCCAAACCTAGCCTTCATTTCTGCTGATTTCTAGAGGCATCAGCTCCCAGCAGCTTGTGAGCAGGCACCCACTCTGCAGCAGCCCCTCCATCTTTCCAGGGCTTCACTCTTTAGGGCTGAAATCCCTAAATCCCGCCATGTCGGGGTGGAGTCTGGGAAGAGGCATCTCAGAACACCTGCACCACCCAGAGTCCACGGTGAGGCAGAGGTTAGCGTGCTTGAAAAAGATGACTCGACACTGGCCTCCATGGCAGCACTCTGAGCCCTTCACTGCTCTGTCACTGCCACCCTCCAGTCCTGACCATGTGACAGCCCACAGCTGACTAGGCAGCAGGCCTGGGTTGGCTGGCTCACCTCCAGCCAAGGCTGCCTGCGTACATTTCTGTGGACACCCTATGGCTAATTTTGTTACAGCTGCACAGCGGCTGCTGCCATCTTGTATTAAACGTATTATGAAGTAAACCCACCTGCTTCGAAGCTGGTGTTTTGGAGGAAGAGCAGTGTACTTGCTGCTGCCTCCCGTCTGGCTCCAGCCCCATGTCCTTAGAGAGTGGCTGGTCCAGATCCTGTTTCTGCCCTCCAGCCTGCTCATTGGTGATGGACGACAAGGGGATGGACTCAGTGCTTAGGATAGAGGGGGTCTCAGCCTTCCTGTCCCAGATCTCCTGGTGATTTTTAAGGGAAGGAGGGAGCGCAGAGTGGTAAGTCTTGGAGCCAGAAGGAAGCTCATAAATTTCTGGAAACCACCCCATGTTTTTTAAAAGATCAAGACAATTTGATTTTCCCAAGGTCAGAAGTGAAGCCAAGATCCAGATCAGCAGAAATGGGGCTTCTGAGGATGCCAGCCTGGGGCCCCACTGCATAGCCGCCTGGATGGAGCATGGTCGGAGGGGAACAGGTTTGGGTTTTCCCACAGCATCCAAGTTCCTTAAAAGAGAACTGGTTTTCTTGGCTCTCGGCCCAGCAGTGCCTGTTCCGACTTCTGGTCCTGGCCTGTAGCCAAGTGCCATTCCCAGCCTGACACGTGAGACAGGTGGAGCTTGCGCTTCACCAATCCCAGCCCAGTTCCACACTGAGGGAAGACCAAGGGCTTGTGGCACTGTCCCTTCACTTCCTCACCCTGCCTTTGCTATGTTGGAGATGAATGTGGCTGAAATGGTGGTCTTGCTGGGTTTAAAGTGCAGCCGGAACGACTAGCCCAGAGACGTTCAGAATATGACCAAATGGAATGTTTCGTCCAGTCAGTGTGGGTTACAGAGCCCTACCACCAACTTGAGGAGAAAGTGCTTGTCTTCCCGATGTTACATGTGAAATAAAAGAGAAGTGTTTTAAATAAAGCCAAAAAAGAAAAGTGTAGCCTGAGTCATAAATGGAAGAGCCAGGGGGGTATTTCCACTTTGGTTCTTGTGGGAGCTCTTGGTTGTTCATATCCGTTGTGCAATGCTACAGCGCCAGCTGCCAGCCCGGCTCCTTCCTCTCATTCCACTCCAATTTTAGTCGAGTCAGCTATCAGTCCGGCTCCCCTGTTGACTACCATACCATTCTTTGTTTTCCTACTGCTTGCCCTGTGGAATGGCAACAGAAGCTCTGGGCACACCCTTTACCAGAATGCGGCAGCCTGTAAAAAATGCTGGTTCCAAGAAGAGCCCCTAATCACACCTCCAGGGGTAATTCTGAGGACAGGCAACCTTTGAGAACTGATCTGGTGCCTAGAGGATGCCTCCGCACAGGCCTGAGTCCTAATTCTAAACCCAGATAATCTAGTAATGACAATCCCTTACCTATATAGCCCTCTCAAGTCTCGTTTTGACATATTAGCTCCTTGAACTTCGCGACAACCGGGTGCAGGAGACAAGATTGCTCAGGGCCCCCTTCCAGAAGACCGCTAAGGTGAGTTGGCCCGGGGTATTCGAACACACGGCCGGCGGACCAGCCACGCCCAGAAGCCGGGTGGAGCAGAGCTGGTGCCAACGCGGCGTTGGGGCTGGAGCGGAGCACCCTCTCCTCGATTTGGCGGCAGGAGTGGTACCCACGATCCAGGTGGCCGTCAGTCGCGACCCCTCGCCTAGGGCCAGTCCAGGGTCTTCTCTCTAGCCCTCTCCCCGAGGCACCGCACGCCGCGGAGCGCTGCTCGGGCTCGCGGCTCCGGCTCGGGCGGGGCTCCGCGGGCGCTGCGTGGAGCTCGCCTGACCCCTGCCGGCCGCCTGCGGGGTCGCAGGCGCACCAGGCCTGCCGCTCTCCGGCCTCTGCCCCGTGCTCTGGTCGGGCCGCTCCCACTGCCGGCTTTCAGGATGCACAGGGCTCAACGACGTTCTGTTTTGCCAAAAGAGGACATTAAGAAAAAAAAAAAAAAAAGCCAGGTATCCTCTATCTTGTATCATTTCCTACAAAAAAGGCGACTTTTAGCAATTAAAAAAAGCAGGAAGGATGCAAACTCAGAACAAAGGCCGGTGTTTTTTTATTTTTAACATTTTGTATATGTTTTATGTTCATGGGTTTTAAAATATGATAGTTTAAAAGGCTTATTTAAAGAAAAAACCTTCCTCATCCCAGCCCTCCTCCAAGGATGAAACCGCTTTTGAATCTTTAAGAGATTTCTTTTGGTAATTCTCTTCATGCCTCTAATGCTTACTCATTGATTCAATTCCAGACACCTCTATGGGTAGTTCTTTAAAGTGCATACATTTGATTTATAAGCAGCTCATTACATGCCCATATTTTCCTGACTTCCTCAGGCCAATCCTGTCCACTGGCCAGCATTTGGGAGCCCTGGGATCCGATGGTGCAGAGTCCCATCTGTATTCCTGGCTGTCCACTGCCAGAGCCCAGAGCCACACTAGTTCGGGTGTAAGCCCTCCCCGTGTGCTCCACCTGGTCTCCCTGGCGGGGAGCTGTTCACAAAGTTGGCCTCTCCTACACACACCACCCACCGGCTCTCAGACACAGCTAGCCTGTCTAAATATTTCTTACATCCACAACAACCTGACAACTTGCCTGCCTTCTTCCAATCCACGCCCCTCAACCCTTCCTCTACAGTGAGCTAGACTCAACTATCAAGCTCCCCGTAAATCCTTCTGTGGCTCCCAGCACCTATAAGATCTAAGCTTTTGCAAGGCAAATGTGACCCTGATCGGCCTCAGCCTTCCCCTTGGCTGCTCTTCTCCCCATCCCCACTGAGCACTTGTGTTCTGTTGCAGACAGACCTCCCGGGTGCTGTTCCTTACCCCTGTGCCTTTGCCCTAGCTGTTCCCTCCGTGGAGCACGCCCTTCTAGCCCTTTGCCTTGCTCTTGCTTCCTCATCCCTAAAGCCTTCAGGGGGACTTCCCTTCTCCAACCTGTCCCCGTCTCCCCCATCCTGAGCAGGGCCCCTTTCTGCTTCTCCCTGGGCATAGCGGCATCAGTGGGCTTGTCCCACTCTTGCAATGACCTCATGTGTGTCTGTTTCCCCTGCCTTAGGCTAAGGACTTAAGGGCCAGGATTGTGATTTAGCAGCCGTCATGTGCCAACCATCCAGCACAGTTCCTGGCATGTAGCAGGTGCTCCACAAATGTTCAATGAAAGAGAAGGGTAGTCATGTGACCCTTCGCTCACATTTTGCTGGTACCATGGTTACTTGTGTACGCGATCACCTCTGAGTGTACTGTAAGATCTTTGAGGTCAAAGACATTTCTCACTTATCTGAACCCTCCCAACAGCCCCGAGTGCTCATAGTAAGCGCTCTGTGGCTATGTTCACGCTGAATGAGTGAAACAACAGGTGGGCCAGAGCCCTGGCCTAATCCCAGAGTTGGCAGAAGCAGCAGGCCAGCCGGCCTTGCCTGGCCCTGCTCTCCCCAGGCTCCTCACCCTGGAGGAGCCAGGGCCCAGCTGCAGAGGGGAGGCCCTCACCCCCAGATTCCTCTGACCCACTCCGAAACAGTAAGGAACTGTGAGGAGGGACCCTGGCCCCTCCTCTGCCAGCTGAGAACAAGAATGGGGATTGGATGGAGAGAGGGGGCAGAATCGGGGCATATACCGTCCTTTTTTTTTCTTGTGTAAAATGTATGGTATATACAGAAGAGTGTGTAACATGCATATATGCAGTATAAAGACAATAATAAAACAAACTCCTATGCACCCAGCACCCAGGTCAAAGAAGAGAGCATTCCAAGCACCTTAGAAGCCCGTGTGCCCCTCCCTGACACATTCTCCCCAGAGGACCCACCGTCCCAAATTTAGTGACAATCCTCTCCTCATTTTTCTTTATAGTTTCCTGCCTCTGTGTGTATCCCTAAGCAATATTGTTTAAATTTCCTGTTTTTAAACTTTCTACAATTGGACTCATATTAAATACATTCTTCTGTGTCTTGCTTCTTTGGCTCATCATTGTTTTTAAAAGCTTCACTCATGTTAATGAGTAGAGCTGTAATTTGGTCAGTGTTTTTTCTTGTATAGTATGCCATTGTGTGAAAATACTACAATTTAATTATCCATTCTAGCGTTGGACATTTGGGTGGTTTCCAGTTTGGGGCTACTCAGAACATTTGGTACGTGTCTTCTGGTTTATGTGCCCTACAGTTTCTCTAGCTACATTTCCAGGAAAGGAATTTCTTTGTTGTCAAGTATACCCCTAACCAACTTTACTAGGTAATTCCAAACTGTTTTCTTTTCTTTCTTTCTTTTTTCTTTCTTTTTTTTTTTTTTTTTGAGGAAGATTAGCCCTGAGCTAACATCTGCTGCCAATCCTCTTCTTTTTGCTGAGGAAGACTGGCCCTGAGCTAACATCTATGCCCATCTTCCTCTATTTTATCTGTGGGACGCCTGCCACAGCATGGCTTGCCAATCAGTGCCACATCTGCACCTGGGATCTGAACCTGTGAACCCTGGGCCGCCAAAGCAGAATGCGCGAACTTAACCGCTACACCGCCGGGCTGGCCCCAAACTGTTTTTCAAAGTAGTTGTGCACCTATATTTTTTAAAATGATGCCACCAGAGGTGACTAGGGGCAGAGGTGGCATGCTACCCCCAGAGCCAACTCCATGAGCTTATTTTCAGCAAGAGGGAGAAGTCAGATGGCAAAAGAGTCTGTATCACACTCCTGTGCCCAGGCCCCATAAACTATACAGTCAACAAACCTTTACAGACAAGCTGAGAGCCATGCATTGGGCCAGGGGCTGGGAGACAGCACTGAGTAAGCACTGACCAGCCTCATGGAGGGACTGTTGTTCCCACTTACTCAGCCAGGCAGCCTGACACAGCTTTGCCCTGGCAGACACAGGAGAGAGAGAAGGGCTGGTGGGATAAGTGGGAGATTTCTTCAAGAGAGAAGGATATTCTGGGCCCAGGGATAGCTCAGCACAGGGAGTATCTCCCCTCCTCAGAGGACAGTGGATGGATCAGTGGAGGAACTAGAAAGGGCTGCCCTTACCGGCTGTAGAGAGAGGGAAGAAAGAAGAAAAGACCACGACTATGCCCAGAAACCACAGGGATAGCTACCTTTGTGTGTGTGTGAGGAAGCTTGGCCCTGATCTAATATCTCTGCCAATCTTCCTCTACTTTACGGGGGATGTCACCACAGTGTGGCTTGATGAGCGGTGCTATGTCTGCGCCTGGGATCCGAACCTGCGAACGCTGGGCTGCCAAAGCGGAGCGCACGAACTTAACCACTACACCACCCGGCTGGCCCCTTAGAATCACAGGGATAGACACAGCTCCATCCAAACACACCTGTGCCCTTGTGCCCATCTAGGGGCAAACACAGGTGCACACACACACAGACACGCGCACGCTGCACATGCCAAGGGATGGGCGGTTACACATGCTGCGGGAGTGGAGGCAAGGAGTGTGAGCTCACGGCTGCCGGCAGGAGATAAGTGCAGCACTGGGGCCGCTTGCCTGGCCTGCCTTGAGTCCCCGCGGGACGCATCCGCCTGGGCTCCCAAGAGGCAGCCTCTGCAACGCCAAGTGTTTTCAGGACAACCTGGGGCACCACCCCAAATGCTTGTTCTATTTATGGGAGTAGGGTAGCAAAGTGTCTTAGTCCAGACTTGAGCCCTGTCGGATGCTGCCAGGCTGGGTATGCAGTAGGTCTCTTTGCTTGTTGAAGTAAAACTGTTGCATTAAATTTATTATAAGATGAATTAAGATTTAAAATAGGGGTAGGAGGAATCCGAAATGAGAAAAGGCTGGGGAGGTGAGACTTGTTCTTCGTAATTGGCCTGCAGCCTGCCCAGTCCTTCCTTTCTTTCCAGAATCCCGCTGTGGGTCTGGAGTGCAAGGATGGGGTCCAGGCCACTGCAAGGTTGCTAATCAAGGCTGCAGGTATGTGAGTTTTAGACTGAGGTTGCCTGGGAGAGTGGGGATCTGCTCCCCGATGCT